TGCTGCTTGGGGAATGTCAGTCATGCAAGTAGCATACATGGGGTACCTGCAGAAAAAGCCCATGGCTATGTATCTGACTCTTCATAGATGAACATAGAGAGATAAGCATTATCTTTTATTCTTAGGCCAAGGAATTTTAATCAAATCTTTGCTTCGTTATTGAACGCTGAAGTTCCAGAGTGAAAATGTGAGCTGGTTTGTTCCCTAAGGCTGGGTTCACACCTAGGCGTATCGAATATGCGCGTTTCATGCAGCACGTTTTTACCGCGATTTGCGGCAAATACGCCCCAAAGAAACTCCTGTACTTCTTTGGGCGTAGGGCGTTTTGTAGCGCGTTCATACGGCCTGTAATACGCCCAGGTGTGAACCATACCCATAGGAAATAATGGGATTTCGGTGTTTGAGCGTTTTGCAGAGCGTAGGAACGCGCTACAAAACGCCCAGGTGTGAACGGGGCCTAAGTACTAACTGCTAGAGTGATCTGTTAGCTGTATTGTTTAAAGCGAGATGGTTTTACTGCTGAGTAGAGCCATGTGTTTCATACACTGCACTGATGGTGGCCAGAAATCCTGAAACAGCTGTTTGCTACTTACAGTAAGTGTCCCTGTAATTGTAGGCTATGTTTGTGCTGTTAAAGACTATTATTTGCCTATCTTGGAGTAGAGAGTAAAAGGACTACAAAATATACCTTAGGGAACATGCTGCTCTTTGCTCATTTCGGTGCTGGTCACATGGCCAGAAGCTAAGACATTTGGTTACATGATCTTTGCTAAAGATGGGTATTGGCCAGTCTGAACACAGACCCTTCCGTTCAGCAGAAATGGCATGACCAAGTGGCTAAACCTTCAGGTTTCCACAAGACTGTTAGCATTGGTTTATGCAATACATTCAGTATAGTTACAAATGGAAATGGGTTATTTCAGAGTGCCTACTACGATGCAGATTGTGTGTGTGACCTTTGTCATTGCCAGCTCTACCCTTGGTGTTCTTCTGAAAGCCTGATACTGGCTAATCCTGTCTGCATGTGATTATTTCACATTACTTTTTCTTGTACGTTTTTGCAATTTTCTGGCTTACTGCTCTCCAAATAACAGTTTCCATACCTGCGACTGATTTTCAACAGATTTAGAAAGGCATTTCTGAAGGTGGAGTAAAAAATCCCTTGCAGAGGATTTCTATCCACATTTATTCCCTTCTAAAATGAATCAGTTTCTTTGTTCTTAAAATATCTCTCGGAAAGACTCTGTAGCATCGAACCCCATACAGAGCTTAATTAGACTGAGTCTTCTATTTTGTCTTTCCATTAAAGAGCTTTAACAAAGCGAGGTGATTAGGAGGCAGTGGTCCTGTATACTCTCATAAATCAGGCTTATTAGTGGTTCAGTTAAATTACACTAGTGTGGCCCTTAGTAACCAGTTGAAATGCAGTCAAATGAAGTTTGGTTACTATTGGCAACATAGATTAGAGTGTCCCACTATTGTCCAACTCAAGTTTAATTAACTTTGAGTTCTGCAGCAATACAATTACGGGCAGCCATGTGGCACTGTACAGTGATACAATGTTAAGTTCAGGTTCATTAAATACACATCCAGAATTGAAGAAGAAAGAAGAAAGACACCTGATAAGATAACCTTTAATGACTGGTTGGTTCTTGTCTCTCAGACCTGTTCTTTCTTATTTTGGTATGATGCAGTTCTTACAAGTGCCTGCAAGTAACCCCAAAAGTTACCTAGTTTAATTGAAAATATGTCCTCTGGCTTCAACCGAAAGACACAAACACAATAAAGACCTTGCATCCTAAGAAGAACTCTAAACCCACAGTTGGTCTAGAAAATTGTAAAAACTAAAAAAAAAACCTAAAGGGTTAAACAGTTTATTCTGTGTATATGTGGGTGGGGGGGGATTGATCACTGATGGCTTAATGCATATACGCTGCAGACTGGTTACTGATGGTTTATTGCTTAGGTTGCCGTATAATTTTTCCTATTATTAATTTTGGTAACAAACACAATTTTTACTGACCCAGATGGTCAAATACTGGCCAAGTGGCAACCCTAGGTAATGCACATGTTCTGCTGGTGTTTAAACTGGCTGGCAAGCCTTGTGTACTACAGAGGCCTTCTCGCTGCTGGCATGGAATACTGGTACGGGAGATGTGTATTGGGGCAGACTACAGACCAATGTGTGTCCTAACACACACACGTTTGTAAAAAGCGATGATAAATTTTACTTCTACAGAGGAGGGAGAGGTCAAAGACTACAGCTGAGCTGAGCTGAGCTTTACTATGAGTGCTGAACCTCCAGACTGTGTGGCTGGTCTCAGTGAGCAAAGACCTATATGTGTATGTGCCGGTGGTGGGCTCTCAATAGGTAAAAACCTATATGTGTTGGAGGTGGGCTCTCAATAGGGAAAGACCTATATGTGTATGTGCCAGAGGAGGGCACTCGCTGGGGAAAGACGTGTATGTGCCGGAGGAGGGCACTCACTGGGGAAAGACCTATATGTGTATGTGCCGGAGGTGGGTTCTTACTAGGGAAAGACCTATTTATGTATGTGGCGGAGGAGGGCACTCAATAGGGAAAGACCTATATGTGTATGTGCCGGAGGTGGGTTCTTACTAGGGAAAGACCTATTTATGTATGTGGCGGAGGAGGGCACTCACTGGGGAAAGACCTATATGTGCCGGAGGTGGGCTCTCACTGGGGAAAGACCTATATGTGCCGGAGGTGGGCTCTCACTGGGGAAAGACCTATATGTGTATGTGCCGGAGGTGGGTTCTCACTAGTGAAAGACCTATATGTGTATGTGCTGGAGGTGGGCTCTCACTAGGGAAAGACCTATATGTGTATGTACCGGAGGTGGGCACTCACTAGGGAAAGACCTATATGTATATGCCGGAGGTAGGCTCTCACTGGGGAAAGACCTATATGTGCCGGAGGTGGGCTCTCACTGGGGAAAGACCTATATGTGTATGTGCCGGAGGAGGCCACTCACTGGGGAAAGACCTATATGTGTATGTGCCGGAGGTGGGCACTCACTAGGGAAAGACCTATATGTGTATGTACCGGAGGTGGGCACTCACTAGGGCAAGACCTATATGTATGTGCCGGAGGTAGGCTCTCACTGGGGAAAGACCTATATGTGCCGGAGGTGGGCTCTCACTAGGGAAAGACCTATATGTGTATGTACCAGAGGTGGGCACTCACTGGGGAAAGACCTATATGTGTATGTGCCGGAGGTGGGCACTCACTGGGGAAAGACCTATATGTGTATGTGCCGGAGGTGGGCTCTCACTAGGGAAAGACCTATATGTATCTATGCCGGAGGTGGGCTCTCACTAGGGAAAGACCTCTCACTAGGGAAAGATGTGTATGTGCTGGAGGTGGGCTCTCACTAGGGAAAGACCTATATGTGTATGTGCTGGAGGTGGGTTCTCACTAGGGAAAGACCTATATGTGTATGTGCTGGAGGTGGGCTCTCACTGGGGAAAGACCTATACTGTATGTGTATGTGCAGAGGTGGGCTCTCACTAGGGAAAGACTGTACAGTACCTGTGTGCTGGAGGTTGGATCTTACTGCTGTGCTCTGAGTATGCTCTCTTCAGCAAAATTCAAGACTAAAGGCAAAATCTCCCAGTGATCATGTGAAAATATAACTCACCCCTTTTATGATATGAGATGGGATTAATAGCCAGTTATGATTTGTACGTTTAGAAACTAATCCAGCTCTTTTTGCCATGCAATCTACTGCATTGACTACAACTAGCTCCTGTGGGAGGTCACATTTTCATTTGTTGTGGGCTTTGCAGTAAATTTAAATGAAACACTTTGTACCAGGTTTAAAATGAGGACCATTTATGTATGTATACAAAATCATCATATTTCCCATTAATCATTAAAAAGGTAGAAGGGACTTTAAGAAGAAGTAATTTGTACATGGCAGACCAAGTAAATTCCCTATCTCTGGCATGTATAAAGCAGTAACCCAACCTTGCTGCACCAGAACACCTACCAGTGAACACCTTGCCCTAACAAGTGTAGGGCTGGTTTTCTGGTCAACCTGTTACACCCCATAGGAGTGAGCTGAGTTCAATATAACATACAGATGGAAAGACTTTAGCTAGGACCTCCTGCATTTTGCCCAGTTGCCATGTAAAAACGGCAGCATCCAATATCCATTTTACTTTTGGAGGGAGTAATTTGTATCCAGGAAGCATTTCCTGACATTTTTTTTACATGGCTCTTCTAGAAGGCATTTTCTTACTCTGGAATTGATTTGTGAGCTTCTTTGTATATCACATCTGCATTATGATCTGCTCAAACACCACTCTGACGTGTTGTTATAGGTTTACACCGTTCAAACATTGATCTTATTTCATGACTTTCACAGACTCCAGTTATACAGGTGAAACTCGAATAATTAGAATATCATGCAAAAGTAATTGCAGTAAGTGCTGCAAAAGGGGCCCAAACCAAGTACTGAATACATATGCATGCTTGTACTTTTCAGAGGTCCGATATTGTTCTATGTACAATCCTTGTTTTATTGATTGCATGTAATAATCTACTTTTTTGAGGTTGTGGATTTGGGGTTCTTGGGGTTTTCATGAGCTGTAACCCATAATCATCACAATTATGACAGATCACGGCTTGAATTATCTTGCTTTGCATGTAATGAGTCTCTCTCATATATTAGTTTCACCTTTTAAGTTGCATTAGTGAAATAAATGAACTTTGCACAATATTCTAATTATTCGAGTTTCACCTGTAAGCACTTCATTAGGATGAAGTAGAAATATAGTTTGGATAATATCAGCACCTTATTGATAGAACAAAGTCCAGCTCCCGAATTAGTTTAAGCCTCCTGCTAAGCCAGCATAGAGTATTCTATGTTGTGTATGTATGCATATTTATATTTCATATGTGCAGACTGATGCATTGAAATAGTCATTTTATTTTCTGCTTTTGTCTTTCAGGGGGCCCTAAGGAATAAAGGCCCTATCTCTATGTCCCCTTCTGAGGAGGGAATGGTCTGTCCTGGGAGGGCGTAGGACCTGCCTCCATGTGAACGCGGCGGTGTCTCATGAACCTCGGGCAGCTGGGGGCGGAGCCCGCCTTGGTCTCTTCTGATTGGTTCTGGATGGAATTACGTTGAATGGACCAGAATCTTAGCGGGCTGGACTGCTTGTCAGAGCCAGATGAAAAAAGGTAAATGCTCTTTACTTTGTTTATCACCTGAGCTTGCTTCTCCAGGGCTGTGAATGGAATGCATGCGTCAAGTCTGGAATGCAGGCTATTTCCACGCTAGATCAGTCACTTCATGTTTTTTTATACGTGAGCTGGAGTGTCTGCGCACCCGAGACAATTTCCCATCATCAAGAACTGTTCTGAGCCCTAAAGACATTTTATCTGCATTTATAAATGTACATCTGAGAAGCTTGCTCTGCCGTAAAGCGTAATACCCTAAGGCAAAAATGAAACACAAAAATCACCACCTAGTGGATGTTTGAAGCAGACCCTTATTTAAAGCAACCCTGTAAAGAAGAGATTATTTACCTTTCCCCCTGATAAAAGCACATCCCTCCCAGTAACACCCACCTATCTCACCCCCTCGTCCCCCCAATGCACCTCCCACCCAACTCAACCCCCATCCCAGCGCCTCCTACCCACTTTACCTATCACCTTTCTCCCACCACCTCAAACCTTATTGACAGCACTTTCCCCAATCCCACCCACCTTGCCACCCCTACCCCTTGGTTCATTGCACATCACTTCCACCCTCCTATATCCTGGTCAGAGTGCACTCCTCCTGTTCCCCCCCCCAATCACAGCACTTCCCTTTCACCCACATTGACTTTCCCAGTCACAGCGCCCACTCCACCTTCATAACCACCATCAGTTCAGTTCTCCAAACTTAACAAATTTGTAGTAGTAATAAAAACTACTATTGGACCATAGGAGCATAGCTCCTATGGCCCACTGTAAAATCATTTACCTTACTACAGTAAGTTATATGTGGAGGTGAAAGTCTACCAGACACTTCAACTACTGAAAACTGAATTAGGGTTCGGCTAAGTAAGGATTGTCTGGATGACTGTCTTTTACTAACAGGAAGGAACTGTTCTAATTACATGTTGGCTTATTTCTGCAAATCACAGTGGCAGGAGGCATCGTTCAGGGCTGCCAGCTGCCTTGAAGACACTTTGGCTATTTTACCTTTGCAAGATTATTGCCGGTGTAGCAATAGATAACACTTGCAGGTTTATAGGCTTTGCTTATGGATATACAGTAGTATTCCTTTACAGTATCATGGCTTTGCATGTATGCCCGTAAAACCCTCATCTGCTGAATACAAAGGTTGAATCACCCTGAAGAGTTACATTGCAACCCTTATTGTGTTATTGTATTGTGCTTATCCTCGCTTTAGGCCCTCAAGGCAACCTGCTGCTTGTTTTATGACAGTTCAATACAAGCTTTGAAAATGTAGGTGGCTTGAGAATCATTAATTTCTTGCCAGGGCGGCGTCATGTTCGCTTCTCAGCGTGCTCTGAAGTCCAACATGCTAGAAGCATGGAACAAATCGTTACCTATTTATTTATAATACTTGTGTGTGCATATATACACTGAGTGGCCAGTTTATTATGACCACCTGACGTTTGTAGGCAAATTAGCTATAATTTCGCGCTGAAGTTGCTAGACTATTATAAATAGGGAAGCAGGTTGTTTACCACGACAGTAGAAGTGATTTTTTTCTGAAGATATGGGTAAACAATGCGATTTAACAGCCTTTGAACGTGGGATGATTGTTGGCGCGAGCCGTGGAGCGAGTATCAGAAAAACAGCAGAATTCGTTAAATGTTCAAGAGCAGCTGTTGTTAAAGTGTTTAAAGACTGGACTGTCAGCCGAAAATCGGGGTCTGAACGTGCGAATTGTGGCCGTCCGCGACTAGTCAATGTTACGGCAGAACAGAAAGTGGCAAGACTGGTACAAGACAACAGAAGGGCAACAGTACAGTGTCAGATGCCTCGCATCAACTTTCAACATCTCGTGGAGTCACGAGGCGGCCCAACGAAGTCATCTCGTGGAGTCATCTCGTGGCCCAACAAAGTACTGATGGGGTGGTCATAATAATCTGGCCATATATATAATGTTACACAAATACAGGGAACCCCAGAGTGACTTACCTAAGCAACAGAGTATCAGCAACTTGTAAATTAGGGGGAGAACCTAAAGACGAACTCACATTACGGCACCTCTTACTTCAGGTTGAGTGATACTCTAAAGCCCTGGTTCTCAAGTGGTGAGTCGCAACCCTGTGTTCAGTGGGTCGCCGTTGTACAAGTGATGCACATATGGAGCTCCATTACAGCACAGCAGACCACACTGGACTCAAGGCTGAGGATCCACTCCAGTTCTCATAAGGTAGGAAGACTTACCTTGGATCTATTATTGGATCTAGGGTGGATCTTAAAAAAAACGAAAAACATTTTTTCTAGTGTGTGTGAGAATGTCTGAGTGTGTGAGATTGTGTCTGTATGGGAGATGCATTGCGTTGCCATTCATTTGAATGGCACCCCAAACGCACTTTCCGCCCACAGTTAGATCGCCCTTTCTGAAACTGAGCAGAATGCAAAGGGATGACTTTTGGTCCATTTTTTGTAATGGGTAAGTGTAAAGCTGGCCATAAACCTGGTGTTTTTTCTTTTTCAGTCCATGGGCTGAATAGAGCAAAATGCCTTATTCTGTCCATCCATGTAGAAGGGGGAATCTCCCCTGCTGAATGATTGCATTCTGACAGCTGGCACCCACAGTTTAGAATGATTTGTACAGCTTGTGGTGTTTCCAGCATCCTCCTAAAAAAGAAGATAAGTGGTAAAGAATATGAAGCTTAGCCTATCCTGGATCATTGCTCTGTAGTATGCTGTTGGGGAAGAGTTAATATTCTCTCTCTGGACTCTGCACAGGAGTAGTACACCCAAAAGTGAACTTTAACCGTTCAAACACAGGTGAACAAGAGAAGCTCGGGAGAACCTAGAATCCAGTATTTCTCTCCCGTTCATTGAAGGACACAGGGCAACAGATCGTAGATCCTGTATGGTAGGGTATATCGCCACCTGCAGGAGAAGGACGCTAGGCACATAACAAAAAGACAAGACAGCATAGGGGCGGCCCCTGCTGGTGGCCCAACCCCCCACTTGCTGACAAGTCTCCAGTTTTTTGCCTAGCATCAGGAGTAAGGAGCTAAATATTTTTTCTCTCTGAAAATTTTTGTTCTTTCTTCCTTTGATTTGCTTTCTTCTAGCAAGTGAAAATTCAAACACAAGGGGCGGAGGGGGTTCTTCTCAGTTCGCGCGGTTAGGGTCTGGAACTCGTTGCCACAAGCAGTGATTTCAGCTAATAGTGTGGAATCGTTCAAGAAGCTTCTGGACGATTTCCTGAGAAACGGTAATATACAGGGGTACAAGTACTCCTAAAAACGAGATGACTCGGGGATCTTTACACACACACACACACACAATAGGTTGGACTTGATGGACATGTGTCTTTATTCAACCTCAAATACTATGTAACTATGTAAGTGTCACCAGGGCGACGTGCTGGACGACTGTGGATCCTTGTGGTCTTCCCTGGGTGACCATCGAGCGCATGCCGACTCTGCCTCGGTGGGTCGACTGCGACATGGGTCCCTCGTGACGCCTGCGGGTTCGTCCCAGGGTAGGGGTGCATATGACCGGGGGTATCGACCTGCCGGTCACAGAACTCCCCTCAGGCTGGCGGCGCCGCGACTACGGTCGGAGCGTTTCTGCTACCGTCTCCTGCACACCCTGTCTTCTGGAGTTTGGACTTCCATCTGGGGGTATGTATGCGGTTGCGGTGGCTGTGTCCCAGGGACCGACAGTGCAGGTAAGCTGGCTGCACTGTGCTTTGTCACAGCTGCAGCCTCCTGACTTCTCCCTCTCCCCCTCCTCCCCCCTACCTTATGGTGCTGTGGGGCTGCTGCCAGGCCTGGGCAGTGTGCAGGGCGGTGGGCCCCGGTGTGGACCCGGTCTAAGGGGCTAGTGAGAGTGGGGAACCGTGTGTGAGGCCCTGGCGGTTTGCGGCCTCCAGGCGGCTCCGCGGCCGCCATCTTGGATAAGGGCAGACGCCCTTTTCGTTATGTCACTTCGGCCCCAGGCTCCCTTTTAAACCCAGGGCGGATGGGGAGGGTCCTCCTTTCGGCCTGAGACGGCGCTGCGGATGGACACAGGGCATAGCTCTCCTCTGTGCGGGTCGGACGCTGCTGGTACTAGTGGAAGTCAGTACAGCCGGGGGTCGTGAGTACTGCTGGGGTCTCTCCCTTTGCTGTGGCGGTCGTCTGGTGCTGGGGCAGTTGCTGTGCAGTGTAGCATGGATCGCAGGGACGAGCCATCTGGGTTGCCATGTGAGGGTTGTGGGCTGCGCTCTGCGGACCCCTCTAGATCCCCTCTTTGTGCGTCCTGTACGCCTGTGCGACCCTCGGGATCCTCAGGAGGGGGGGTCGGTGCCGCGGGTACCGCGCTGTCCTTAGAAGTTTTTCTCACTACTACGGATGGGTTTGTGTCGCACATTCAGCGCGCCTTAACGCAGCGTCCTCCTAAAAAGCGGGCTTTGCCTTTACCGTCTGCAGTCCAGTCGGGGGACTCCGAGGAGGAAGGGGAGCTTCCCTCGGCGTCGCCTACGCGGGACCCGGGTGATTCCTCCCAGCCGGAGTCGGCCAACGGGGATGAGTCTGCATCTGCGCTCATGGTTCAGGAGCGTGAACTGGTTGCAGCTTTAGTGCGCGCGGTCAGGGAGACACTTAAAATCGAGGAGGCTTCCGGCTCTTCGGCGATGTCGCCCGTGCAGTTTTAGACGCATAAGAGCAGGCGTTCCACCAAGGTGTTTCCTTACGTTCCTTTTTTTGATGATTTCATTTATAAGGAATGGAAGCGACCCACAAAGTCTTTTGCACTTCCCAAGCAGTTCTCGGTCCGTTATCCCTTTGAGGAGGCTTTTCTGTCCAAATGGTCATCTCCGCCTGTGGTGGACCCCCCGGTCTCACGCTTGAACAAGGCCACGCTTATTCCGGTGGAAGACTCGCCGTCCTTTAAGGACCCCACCGATAGAAAGGCGGTTTCCCGCACCTTGTACTCAGTGTCAGGTGTGCTTATGCGCCCGGTCTTGGCATCTGCCTTGGTCTCTCAGACCC